TGCACTACCTTCCAATGGTTGATGATAATGTTTTGGATCATTTTTGGACTTACTATTACATCTCTTGAAAACTGGATTCAAGACTCCCTCAGGAAAGTTGTGAAGTAAGGATGTTGGTTTGTAATAGTAGTATCCATTTGGGTCTCTCATACCAAATGCGCACATATCTAATGTTCCATAGGTTACGGTATGCTTCATGAGAAGGCGCTGAAAGTGTTTGGTAAACCAAATCTTGGAAGTCGCAGGATTTTCAATGATGAAAAATCTGCCATGTTCAATCTGATAAAGAGCGACTCTTGCACAAAATTCTACCATGGGAAGATACTTTTTCCTTTTTTGATAAGTATCAGCAGGATCATTAATATTCTGCATTTGACTCCATGGTCCACAAACAGGTGCCATGTGGATGATTTTTGGCTGTTGTCGCTCAATGACTTCCATTGCCTTTCGCCGGCCTTCGGCAGTGAGCAAGTCGTAACCTGTGCGGAGGTCTATTGGAGCGCCGACTCGAAGTCCTTGCATTGCTGCCGCTTGACTAAGCTTGGCGGAGCCGCTAAACAGCTCAAGGAAATCTAATTTTCCAGTCATAGCTGGCTCCCATGTATAACAACCATATGTAATACCTTCAGGACCTGTCTGAATGGCATCGTGTTCTATGATGTTATTTGCATGGTCATCAGAGCGGCATGTGGACTTCACTGCTGTACAGGCGCCCTTGGCCGAAGATTCGGCACCGGCGGCAGCTTTGGCCGAAAAGTCGGCACTGGCAAGTGCAATTGGTTCTAAAGGAATGTCAATATCCTCAATAGGATTATGGTCTTTTCTGATTTTACTGATGTTGACCTTCACGATTCTGGTTCCTAAATCAACTCCAACCATACTGCCATCTACGGAAACCAACTTTCCTTTTATCCATTTTCCTCCATGTGAACCGTCTGATTTGATTTTTGATTTGTCTTCGGTCCAGTAGTAAACTTTATCTCCAGGAAAGAATGGTCCATCACTAAGTTGAAGTTTGCTCGCAATATCTCTTCGAAGGTCATCTGATTGTTTTGCCTCTAGAAACTTTCGCATCGCCAGTGACCTTAGTGCTTCAATCTGTCTCTCAGGAGCAGGGGCCTCAGTCGTGAGCTGAGCTGGATTCATGAGCTCAATCGCCGTAAGATCGGCAGGTCTTCTACCGAATGCTAATTCAATAGGAGTGACACCACCGAGTGTTACCATGGTGTTCCTTGAAATGCAGGCTTGTCTCAACAACTGTTTATAAGTAATGTTGGCAAGCAATGGATCATCTTTCAAGGAAATTAGCATTAATGAGACCTGTTTCTTAAACATGCGAATGGCTGCCTCAGCTCTATTTGGCCATGGTGTTCCTGGTCCTAGAGAGATTGGCCTGATGCTGTGCCGGTTGTAGTAACTCTCCATCTCTATGCCCATGAAAGCTTGATCGGCAACAATGTATTTTGGATTCAGCTGATAAGTTTCAAAGTATTCTTGAAGATGGGAAATCGTCACCGGATCAGATCTGTTTTGAACTACAAAAGCAGTAGTCAAGGAGGTAGCACCATCATACATAAGTAGGAATTGAAGTTTTGACTGTTGATTGATCGGAACTTCTCCATGATCAATGAAGGTAAGTTCACCAAAGACTTCACTTCGGATTCCTGAAACCTTAGCTCTCGATGGTGCAATCCTGGCAGTGGAACATGTGTCACATGATTTTGTAATCTGATCAAATTTGTCACAGATTTCTTTTGGCAACTTCAGAGCCGATGTTCTTCTCTTGAATTGTTCAGTGGTCATGTGATAGTGCTTCAAATGCAACTTGAGAAGTTCAGTGGGTGATTGAAGCTTATCATGAATTCTCTGAAGTGCTAGTGACAAAGTTCCCTTAGGTGACGGTTCCTTTTTCTCTTCAAGTTTTACTTCAACCTTAGGTTCCGGTTTGACTTCAGTTTCTCCTTCAATCTGAGGTTCCCGACGTCTTGGGATATCGTCCTTCGAACCGGAACTTGGCCCAGAGGCCACCATTGGCTCTTCATCGGGATCAAAAGGTTGAGCTGGTACTTCTAACTTACTATCAGGCTGAATTGCTTTCTTGACAATCTTCTTGGAATCAGGCTTGGCCGATTTCGGCACCTCTTCAGGCTTAGGCTCTGATCCTTTGAATCTCTTGCAACCTTCTTTGTTGGTGTGTGGTCGATGTTTACCATTGCATGCTGGGCATGTGATGTCTTCGGACTGAAAGCTGTACATCGGTTTCCAACTGGAAGTAGCAAGAGCCATAATGTCAAGGACTGGATGGTTGGATGTACTGACCGCCAATGCGGTGCGTTGCATTCCAAACAGTGGACAAGTCATGAACTCACCTACAGGAGTGTGCTCAATGTTCATGCGAAGATTCCTCATTTGTTCAACTGAAAAGAGGATAGGAACCTTACCTTTGTCCAGGATGTCAACGCATGTTGTAATCCAACCAGTTTGTGCACGATCATTGCGAAAATGAATCACCAATCTTTCTTTGACAGTAGATTGTTCTCCATTGGCAAATGAAAACTTACTTGAACACGGTTGCTTAGAAAACCAAATGTGATCACGCTTGGGATGTTGTTGGCAAGCCTGTACAAGGCGATCTATGGCAAAGCGGGATCCCATGGCTCGAGTGCAACCTGAGTCAAGGATGACATAAGTCGGATGAGAACCTAAATCTACATATTCACAAAGCAATGCTTGTTGGGCACCATGATCATAATTTAGGAATACACACTCTTCCGTAGAGACGGAATCGAGCGGGCTTGTGCGCGGCTGAAACGAATGCAGATCACCGTTTCCGGTAGAAACACTCTTCTCAACTTGGCGAATGCTCTTCAACAGGGACCTGTTCAAATCTGAAAAGCACTGGTACATCACAGACACGAACAGAAGCACGAATGTGAGGGCCTCTACAAGTTCGTGTCCGAACAATCGGAACAAGCGGATGCCTGAAAAACAGAACCGGTTGATCTTGTCGGTCTGTCCGTCCTCGAAATTGACGTCTGAATGCTTGTCCTCTGAGTCGGTCAGTTCCTCAGCGGAAGCAAAATACGACCAATTGTACCAATCACCTTGGGAGTAATCTCCGTCATATCCATAATAGGATTCATAACCTGACCAGTCATCTGTCCAGTATGTGTCATAGTCGTAACTCCAGCTTTCTTCGGCATGGGCTGTTTCTTGTTTTTCAGGGGCATGTGATGCACTGGATGATGCAGCCTGTGCTACATTAGCTTGTGGAGGTTGTGACAAAAATGGATTGGTTCCTCCTTTGTTCTTCGCATCACTTTTTCCTTTTCCTTTCCATGAAGGCATTCCTTTGAAAGAATCCTTTCCTTTCATCATTCCTTTCTTGCCCTTTTTACCTTTTCCTTTGCCCTTGCCTTTTCGCCAGAAAGCCGTGTCTTGCTGGTCATCTTCCCATGCTGCAAAACCTTTGCCTTTTGACCTCGAGCGGAAGCCGGGTCTTGATTTCTTTCCTCCTTTCTTGCCATAACCTTTTGGTCTACCTTTCTTGAAGGACCTGCCGTAGATGCGGCGCTTAGAGTATGAACCCTTGGCGCTGAGAACCCAGAACTCGTTCTCCGTGTACAGACCTGTGAAACCTTCTTCACCCGTCTCTTCATCGAAGACCCAAAATCCGTACTCACCTTCTTCGGTCTCGCCCTCGTCGATGACGTAGAAGTTAGACCGCTTGCGGTGCGTGATATTTGGGTCTGCAACACCTGTGCGGGAAACGGCAAAAAGTTCTAAGAACAGCTGTTTCACTTGGAGATAGGTGTATTGAGGCATTGCAATCTGACGGATGTTCATGGACGAGACAAAGCGCTCTCGCTGTTGCTCGTTGAGGTCTGCTTGCACTAGAAAAATCAGTGACATCAAATTGTCTGACAATGGAAACTGCTGTGCATGTCTGGTCCTTCTATTGGTTATGGTCTGTTCTCTCAGTTCTTGTTGATAAGCTAGCTTATCTTCATCTGTTACTATCTGGTTATAGTGCAGTCTTTGCTCATCTGTGAGTGCTGCCGTAAATGCCTGAGTGCCTGCCTCGGGGAGATCGGATATGTCCAGCAGATCGGACCAAGAAGCCAACAAACGCTTCTGCGCGATCTCAAATCGCCCTATCCAGTGCACGAATTCACTCTGGCCTCGATATGTGCGAAACATCTGGAGGAATCGCCAAAGGAACACATGATTTACTCCCTTCACGAAGTATGGTCTCAATGTGTCCTTGAAATGAGCGAGGCCACGATCCGGATCTCGGAGTAGGGCATTATCGAGCATCGACTTATAAAAAGAAGCGGAACCAATGAGGGCATTCTTTAATGATGGTCCGTGTTTATCTGCATCCAATGTTGTGATCCCTAACCAGTCATCAATTAAATCTTCATATTCAAACCAGCTTGATTGGCCATCAAATTGGGGTGGAACCTTTGGTGTCATTTTGATGCCCATCCGGTTTTCGGAAGGACTGGTGGCGGCATATGCTTCAGGCTCTTCATAAGAGACAATCTGGAGTTGTTCTTCATCTGAATCCATGTTGTGGATTAAGACCATGGCAGCTACTCTAACTTGACCTACAGGTTGCCTCCGCAAGTCCGATATACGGAATGTATGCAGAGAATGGCAGTTCGGCACACGGATCTAGACTTGGCGAAGGCACAGGCTCCGCTACCACTTTGAGGTAGCTATCCCTCTATTAGGGGAGCCCTGGATAATGTACAAACACCTGTGTCAAGCAGCGGCGACTACACTTCTTTTCTACGCAAGATTCTGCTAGTCTTGAGCCATGCGGAGTGCGCATGAAAGATATGAATTAAGTGTACATGTCAACATGCATGAATGCATTGTGAAGACACGTAAAACAAAATAAATCACAGGGGGTGGGGGTCCCTGCTCATATATAAATAACCATGTTCACCTGATTTCAGTGGGTTATTTGCCCATTTTGCCCCGGGGCACCACAGGTATACCTTCTTGATGGAAGCTCTTTGCAACGAAATGCCCAACGACGTGAAGACGAAGGCCATTTCGCTGTTAAAGGCGGCCATCTTGGGCATCAAAGCAGAGAAGCGCTACATGTGCCATGGCAATGGCGAAACCGGGATTTACCCAAAGGACATGGGGATCTAACATGACTTAACCATACAAGATGGAGATTTTTCGGCTATCAGTTTGGGTTTGTCCAGATATAGCAATTAAACCAGCAGTTTCATGCGCCTCATGGTAAACATGAGTTACTGTAACATGAACATCTTTGGGGCTGCACATTTTTGGACAAGCCCAAATTGAGAATTGCAAGTTGGAAAATCCAGCTGGCAGAAGCCGTGGATAACCTATCTGGATAACCAGCCTTGGCGAGGTATTTGAGTTCGTGTCTCCCAACACTCTTGAAGCGATGTACTGCCTGTGACCATGGCCTTGACCACTTTGTGGAACGCTTGGAAGCGCTCAAAGAGCTAGCGCTCATATTTCCACAGGCACAAATGTGATACAGCCAGAGCTTTGTGGGTTCTACCTTTCTCCATCCAAATTGGAATGATGATGATGAAGAAGGAGAAGAAAGTGGTGATGATCAATTACTATCATTACTGGTCGATGATGATGAACATTAGTTTGTTCCAACCATATCTTGGAGCTGTCAAGAGAGATTTGCCGCCTTTCCGGCTGCGCGAGGCATCAAAAGAACTCGATACAGAAGATGATGAAGAGAAAGCTCGTGACTTTCTTGCAGGGTTTGGGGCTAGTGAATTACAGTGAGCAGCATCCATTTTTCTTGGAAATCAGGTGTCAAATCTGTGCTCTCTTAAAGTACCATCTTTTCTTGGTCTTGTTCTAGACCTGCATTGAGCCCTTGGTAAAACCATGGATCTCCATGGAGTTATAGCCGTGGTTTTTCACCACTGGCCTGAACCCCTGCTGGCGTTTGAGGTAAAAAGATGCAAGGCAAAGTGATGCAGTCCATGGTGTCTGCTTTCTTGCTGAAACTCCTGCAGAAGGTACAACTTCCCGCGGGTTCTGTTGGAAAAACCGTCCTCGGTTGGGTAGTCCATAGTGTGAAGCATTGCTGTTGAATCAAAAAATCGGTATCCAAAGGGGACGAATCAGGATCTATCAGAAGGTGGTGCCCTCAACTTATAATCTGGTCTATAACCCCAGCTATAGATATATCTGAACCATAAACATCCATAAACCCTAGTTAACCACCAACTATATACATACATATATATATAGATATCTACATATATATAGATATCTACCATAAACCCACAGTTATTGGAGTTATAATCTGTGAGTCAAAGCGCCTTTGAAATCGGCAGAGGCCTTTCCTCTGCTGATGCCGGTCACGGCTTTAGATCTGGAGTCAGCTACAGTAGCTTCGGAGCAACGTGGCAAGTTGCTGGGCGATGGCGATCCAAAAATGGCTTTGGTTTTTTTTCTGGGACTTAATGGGATTGACAGTGGTTAATAGTGGTTAATAGTGGTTTATAATGCTTAATAATGGTTAAGAATGGGTAATAGTGGTTAGTAGTGGTTAGTAGTGGTTCATCATGGTTAATAATGGTTAATAGATGTTAATAGTGGTTAATAGTTGGAATGATGTGGGTAAAACAATGCCGTAAACCATCCCCCAGTCACCATGTTTATAGGCGGTATGGTTGCCATTCCGGTGGTTTATGGCATTGTTTTACCCACATTAATGGAACTTTTAATTTCTGATTTGGGACTTGTTTCTGGACTCCAGTCCAGCATGGCTAGCTTAAAAAAAAACAAAAACATACATACACGATTCTTCCAGCCATAAACCTCCATTTTGTCCAAAAATTTCTCTGGATTCCCCGGCCATGTTCGATTTCCAGCAGGTTTACAGGAAGTTGCCCGTGTGGAGACGTACTCAAAGATGGCTCCAAGTCTTGGCCAAAATCCCACGGCATGGCTCATCATTTCTCCAAAGCAACCATGTTAAAATAGGGTACCCACCCCCATTCACATGGCTGGTCCGTAGATTCTGTTGCCACGAATTCAACAAACCAACGTCTCTTCCCATGGTGGGCCCAAACCATTTGACATAATCAGAAACCATAGTTAGCCTAGTTGAATCAACTTAGCTATTTAGGGGGCTCCACCTTGCACTTTACTGATGATTTTATCATACGATATTTCCATTGTTTTGTCTTGTTGAATGTGCAATTTTGGTGAGGAGAGGGTCCCAAATTCTGTTGAACTCCCAAATTTGTTATTTCCAGTCACACAATTTTATATTACTATATCTATTAACTATTTATATATATATCTACACACAATGTAAATATGTATTATATCATATATCTGATAAGTATGTCAATATGTTATATATATATACAGTCAGCATACAGTGTACATAATGCATACGCATGTATCGCATGTATCACATGTACATCCAGCATGGTTCACTCGTGACGTGCTGATCGCCCAGCTGAGGTTGAAGCTGTTGCACGGTTCCGGTTTTCGGGAGTCCCATGTGACATGTCTCTGTGTCTGGGCAGCTGAGATTTGTAGCCAGGGTTTCAGAGTTTCCGACACAAATTCTGAGACAAATTGGCGACTTTCTACAGTAAATCTGAAAACCAAGCATCTTGGAAACTTCAAAAATTCAATCTAACGAACCGGCCCAATTGCAAAGTCAAGTCTGTTTTTCGGCCACAGATGTTGTGAAGGTAGCCAAGCGTGACTCATATCCGGATCCATTCTCACAAAGCTTTAAAATATATGGATCTGTCCAAAAATTATGCCTGGGATATAATTTATGATTGATATAACCATATTCACAAAATTCGGAATATATGGGATATGGGTCTGTCCTTGGGATATGCATGGATATGCGATATCGTAATGCTGACTGAAGACATTGAACCGGGCAGTTGCATTTTGAACAAAATTTCAAGAGTTTGCGTATGAAGGCTAGATCCATTGGTCCATACTGTATATGATACTATATATATAATTATACATATATAATTATATAAATGATATAATTATATATATATATAGATTATCGATGTTTGCATATAATATGCCATCTGGTAAATTAACATAAACCTTGAGTCACTGACCAATCCCTGGTGGAAACTCATCTTCTAACTCCTGGCAGGGTCGAAAAATGTTGCTGGAGGGTACACCTTGCTGGACTCATCGTTGGCTTGATTTCAGGGTTGTTCATTCTCGTACTTCAGCTAGATACATATGGGATCATATGGGGATATACCCTCTGGTTATGACTGTTACATAGCCATGGAAAGATCCACCATTTTTGATAGGTAAGCAATCTATACATGGGCCATCTATACCATGGCTATGTTAAATAACCAGAGGGTATATATATACACATATTCTAGTGGGGATATCTAATGGAGATGTATTCAACTAATATGATATTATTCAATTATGATATGGCTGGTATACCGACATTTTTGAGCACATTTTCACCAGGAGTTGATGATTTTGATGATGATCACCAATCAACCTGGATTTTCTGGCCTTGACCTGCTATGATTCAGCTACAAATCGACGTGTCACTGTTAGGTGAATGATATAAGAACTCAACAAAAATAGGATCTATCAAAAGTGGCTTGCTGGAAAATCTCCCACTTATAGTTGATTTTTCTAGCAACACCTCCAATTTTTTCGCGGGTAAAGATGCATCAATCTGCTGTTTGGATGACGTCACCAGCCCCAGTCCACCATCAACCAGGTAATCTGGCGCAGGCCGCAGCCAGAAGCTCACCTCGAGCGATGCTGGCGCTGTCACTTGGCCATTTTTTGGGTGCCAGGAATCCCTGGAAACCAAAACTGCTATAGCTGGTAAAGGTCTCTGGATTTTTCCAGAGATTCCGGATGGATGTGATTTTTAAAAATCTGGAAGAATTCTGGATGTGATTTTTCCATATTTTTTCCCTAGAAGTATTGATCCGTCCTCATATTTCTCCAAGATGCCTTTGGGGTTGTGGGGATTCTCTCTAGATCCCTTGATCTTCATGGACGATATCCCTGCTTCGTAGCCCTATTCAGCTTTGACGGACACAAACCACTTCCAGTTGAACAGATTTCCGCAAATATATATATATATATACAATATATATTGTATATATATATATATGTATATTGTAAAATATATATATATATATATATTGTATATATATATATACAAGAGGATTCTATCGCCGGTCTCAACAAAATTCACAACCAAAAACGCGGTTTGGCGTTTTGTTTCGATGCTTTTTCCTTCGAATTTCTTGATGTTTTTTTGCCTATCGCCAAAAAAAACAGATGAACAGATTTCGCTCAAAGTTTCTGGATGTTTTTTCCTTAATAAAAACATCATCAAAAAATAGGAAGATCAGAAAATTCCTCAGATCCCAGGTTAGAAGAGATGGATCTGGGAGACCCCCAGGGGGATGGAGGCGGCGACCTGGAAATCTCACCTCTATCCCTGGCCATCTTCGTGCTAATGGCCGAGCAGGAGAGAGCGGTGGGAAATTGGGAAAAGGAACGTATGGGAGAATCGGCTGTATATTCAATGAGTTCAATGGATATGTGTGTATATCTAGAATTGATATGTATATGTGTATGTATGTATGTATATATATATATATGTAATATACATACATATATACATATGTGGATATATCTGGATAAATTTGATCACGACCCCACGTCGCGACGGCGCTGGAATGATGGTAGGATTGGGGGAACTATCCGCCAAAGATGTTAGGCCGGTGAATGATTTTAATCTGTCCAGATAGATTATCCATTAAGAATTTGATGGGAAGTTGAATCTAAATTATCTGGAAGAAATCAGAGATGTTTTTTGTTTGATCTACAAATCAATGGAAAATTCACTATAAATGGTGATTTTCTGATATCTTATGGATCTTTTTCCCATAAATTGCTATATCTAGGGCTCTTTTGTTTGAACAATCTTTCAGACGAAAATTGCGGCGAGATTCAGCCAGATCCCCCAGTCATCCCCAAAAGGGAGGTTGGGTTTACATGGGTTTACCACATCATTGTATTCTTGTTAGGAAAGATTACCATCATAATATATTCCAGTCATTGCCACATTGTATTAATAGGTTTACCAGTTTACCATTTATTAGGTAAGATTGCCATTCTTTGGAATTCTTTGGCAAGAAGTTTCCGATAGTTGGCGAAGAAGTCTGGCAAAGAAGAAGTCTGTTGATTCTGCTGGTGGCCGAGGGTTGGCGTCCCAGACCGGAATGGGGAAGCCTCTACTTTCCCATAAACGAACATAGGGGTGGGTCAAAACCTATTATTATCAATTCTAATGGAATGAACATATATTTACCAGCTATTTTGGTGTTCACCAGGGGTACAGGGTTTTGACCCATCCCCACATGACAAACCGCCAGGTGTTTTTTTTGTTTGACGCGTTACAATCGCCAAAAACATGGCTGAATTTCCTACAAACTACCCTGCTTTCGGATACCATGAATCTCAAGCTGGCTATGTAGTCAAGATTGGATGCGCAAAACAATTGGGAGGTTTTAAACCGATTTAACTTAGCTATTAAAACTTGCAAAGATCCAGCAAAGTTTCTCAAAAAAAGTCACAAACGGCCAGTCCATTTGTGACCAGATGGCCACACCCTGCAGGTGCCCCAGAAGATGTTTCCCTACGTCCTGCCGCTGTGCATCAGCAAGTTGCGCCGCGTCAACGTCTTGATGCGCAGCTGCTATGTGCTGCTCTGCAACGCCGAGGCGGTGGGTCGGTGGTTGAGCAGGAAATTGTATGAAACAACAGGCTTTGAATAACAATATTGTGGGGATAGAGTTTAAATCACAGCTTTTGAATGCTTTTGATACCTCTATCGACTCTATCTTGAATACTACAGGTAGTGTTGTTAGTGTTGTTGTTGAGGTGGCATCAAATACATAGCCATGAAGATTATAGAACTTGAGGTGATTTTGGAGCCAGTTGGAAGCCACGGGGCTGGACTTGTCTATGGGGGACGTTCCAAAAAAAGGGGACACTCCTAGAACATTCCTTACATCATTCCATTCTTAAGTCATGATAGTCATATGTTCCATCCGATGCTTTTAGCATGTCAAAAGCTTGGGAACAGGTGACCCCCAATGTGGTGAATCTGGGCGACCTGGCTGGCGGCTTGGAGGATCCGCAGGCAGATGTTCTGGGAGTTGATATTAGATTTGATGGCATTTTTCATGATATTGTATGGTGATTATATAATCGGGAACCAACAAACATGCGGATATTAGTTGGAAATACCCTCTGGTAATTTTACATAGCTATTGACAATGGTCATTTGATTTACCTGTTGAAACTGGTGATTTTTGCATAGCTAATTTCCCAGAGGGTATGTTAAAGTTGACATTTCAGATGCTTGACCCTCTGATACCCTCTCAAGACTGTGAGATTGCCCGCTAGGACACTGCACCACTATATATAGTAACCCGAAACATACCTAAACAATCCCCAAAAAAGATAGAGAAAAAACATACCCCATAAAGTCCCTCTGAAACCGTGGAAAAGTGAGCAACATCTCTGAAAGCACCCTTTTTTGTGGGGGTGTACCATAAATATATATATATATATTACATACTGTACATAAAAAAATCATAAATAAAAATATATGAAGATACCTTTAAATATGAATATAGATATAGATACACATCCCATCCATTCTTTGATGTTCCTGGTACCAAACGACTTCAACGGGCAACACGCGCAGGTCCTCCCGCAGGCGTCACCGTCGCCCTGCTATGCGCAGCGTGCGCTGCTGGTCTTCGCTGCCTCCGCGACGCTGTTCTCCGGGGCGACGCTGGCGGCCCTGAAGAGTGCCCGAGCTGATGGCTGATGGGTGGAGATCAACGCAACGCAATTAGGGAACAAAAACTCACCATAAATGGGGATATATATATATATGTATTTGGCTATGATTCTAGCAATGATATCACTTTAACAACAGTAACCTCTGGTAAACATACAAAAAACTATGGAATATCACCATTTTATAGCTGGGTATATCAACTATTTATATGGGCCATTTTCAATAGCAAACTGTTTGTTTACCAGAGGGTAAATGGGAACATCAAACAGCACATGTGAGGAATTCATCACCCCTGGAGATTGGAATCCCCAGAGGTTCCACTTGCCGCTGGCATCCCAAGCTGCTCTTCAGCTCCTGGGATGTGAAAAGTTACCCGGGACAATGAACTGGGATGGTAGCACCGGGACAAGGGGTGCATCCCAAGGTGGTTAAGAACTAGAAAGTATGCATTAGTAGAATATCCCCAGTTGTATGTAGAATATCCTCAGTTAATCAGTTATATGTGTGTGATAAACTCTGATAAATCACCTACTAACTGGGATGCACATCCAAAGAGTCATTCCTTCTTTTCTTGCTGCAGTGGAGATTTTGTTTGGGACAGGGGCTTGGACATGCTGTTGGGGTGAAGCTAAAGAGGAGGGCCAATTTGTAATTTAGCTACGTTAAAGATTTAAATGTACCTGAAGCTAACCAATGTTGAACTAGGGGATTACGGCCAGGGTTTTGACTCATAGCTATATGCCGGGGATGACCATCCAGCTGCACCAGCTGGTGCTTTGGAATCGCCGTATGGTGGTAATTTCAAAAGGGATTGTTCCGGTGACATCAGAACGACCTCCGTGCGTCATGAGAAATTATGGCTGGTACCCTCTGGTAATTTAACATAGCTATTGAAAATGACCATTTATAGTGGAATTTCCCATTGAAAATGGTGATTTTCTATAGTTATGTTAGTTTACCAGAGGGTAGGTGTTTTTTTAATCCCTAAAACGTCAGAGATCCAGACGATGCAACTGGTGGCTGATTCAACGTTTTTTTTTTCGTGAACAAAACACATCAACGCTTGCATGCCATGTCCTTGGCATCCGCGGAAGTTTGTTTTGGCATGGGAAGTAAGTTCTACAGCCACGCTGCCTAGGAAAGGTCTTGGATGGTCTAACATCTACAGATGATGTGGAGCATAAGGCGGGGGGTGGTACTTGGCCGCAGCGAGCCGTAGGAAAATCTATGCATGAAATCTTTGGAGGATATTTTTGGAGTCCCAAATCCCAATTTGTGTTTTTACAGAGACATGATGGACGAAGTTCTAGTGGTTGCCTGTGGTCAACACATTTATAGCTCTTCAAACGTGGATCAACACATACATATACATACATATCATATACATATCATATACATATCATATACATATCATATACATATCATATACATATCATATACATCTTTTTCAGGTTTTCCTTTGTATTCCCATTCCTTGGTCGTTAAATTTTACCGCAGTCCATCTGCCGCAGGCGCGCGGCATGCTGTTTCAGAAGTGCTCGTTGGCAATGAGAGCCTTCGACTGGACGCCACGGTCAGAACTTTATTTGGAGCCTTGGCCGCCTTGGTCAAGCGGCACTTGATGTGAGCTATGAAAGATACACCAGGCAGGTCGATTGATGATAAAATTAATTGGGAATTTTCATGGGAATTATACTAATTTTAGATTAATTAATGGGAATTATACTAATTTTAGATTAATTAATGGGAATGATACTAATTTTAGATTAATTAATGGGAATGATACTAATTTTAGATTAATTAATGGGAATTATACTAAATATAGAACATAAATAATTCCTACGGAATTATTTTTTGTTCTAATTACCTGGTTTCTTGTGGATTATGAACCAACCCATAGGGGAATTGTATCAACCAAATAGTATTTCATGAGATGGGATAGGGGTATTTTCAATGGCCCATGTCGTACCCTCTGGTAATTCCACGTACGGAAAATCACCATTCTTAACAGCTTAACCATCTGTAAATGGGTGATTTTGGCATTTAGCTATGTTAAATTACCGGAGGGCAAATCCACTCACAATGCACCCCCATTTCACCAAACATGGATGGTGTACATGCGTATATATATATATATATATATATAAACCTTCCAAATTTACTTAGAAAATCTTAGAACTTTATCATCGTTGGGTTTGTGCAGTACTAAAAGAAAACCTGTAGACATGGTGGGAAAGGATGGAAGCAATTTTATTGGATACATTTTGAAACACTGGTTTGTGATGATTCTGGGGATTTGCGACCCTTGGTGTTTGCCAAACACCCCAAGTTTAACAAAAATTGCCTATTTGCAGTGACCGAGCCCCAAGATCACACAACAAGTCTTGAACCCCTGGGCAAATATTCACCCCGCTTCGCGTGGGGTGGCCGCCCACACCGCAGGTTTATTTCGGTCCGTGAGAGGGGCTAAGGGTGGTTTTCCCCCGTGGGGGCTCCCCAAGCTAAGAATTTTCACTTCCCCCCCCGTGGCAACTCCCCAAGCTAGGGAATTTTCACTTTTCCCCCCCGTGGGGGCTCCCCAAGCTAGGGAATTTTCACTTTTCCCCCGGGGGCTCCCCAAGCTAGGGAATTTTCACTTTTCCTCCCCGTGGGGGCTCGCCAAGCTAGGGAATTTTCACTTTTCCCCCCCGTGGGGGCTCCCCAAGCTAGGGAATTTTCACTTTTCCCCCCCGTGGGGGCTTCCCAAGCTAGGGAATTTTCACTTTTCCCCGCCGTGACAGCTTCCCAAGCTAGGGAATTTTCACTTTTCCCCGCCGTGACAGCTTCCCAAGCTATGGAATTTTCACTTTTCCCTCCCTTGGAGGCTCTCCAAGCTGCGGAATTTCAAATAGCTAGACAACGTCGCCTAGATAGTCCCCCAAATCCCGTGTTCTTTGAATGTGTTTCCATGTTTTTGCAATGGTTTCCTTCAAAGCACGGTACTTTACACTTTTGTCGCCATAAAACCGGTCGAAAACATAATGTTCGACAATGCTTCCAATTCCCTTATCTCCCCAACCGTTGAAAATACCGCTATTTACAGTGTTTTCTTCAATTTTTCCATGTGCCAATGCCGGTAGCCAACTCCAACATATATATAAGATTATATAAGAAATCCTTCCAAAACATTGTTTTTGACAGTGTTTTTCCAATGTTTCCAGTCAAACAGACGGTAATTTACACGTTTTTTGCCATAAAGGCAGTAAATCCTTCCAAAACATTGCTTTTGACAGTGTTTTTGTAATGTTTCCAGTCAAGCATACGGTAATTTACACGTTTTTTGTAATTTACACGTTTTTTGCCAGTCATAACGTCAGTCCAAAACACTTGTTTTTGCAGTGTTTTCAATGCTCTGGCATCCAAAAAACCCTGCAAAATCTTGCTATGTACAATGTTTTTTTTCATTTTTGGCCGTTTTTCCATTGCCGGAAAGCTACCAAAATGACCCAAAATTCCATTTCAATACCCTCTTGCGCTCAGACACCCAAAAATCTTCGAAAAATGTCGAAAACACCACCGTATTCTGGTCTCGGTGCGAAACCGTTTTTGCCCCCCCCAAGCTAAAGCTGATATAGCGACTGCTATATTAACAAATGTCATTGAGCATTTAGTGTTGCTGTTTTGCCCCCCAATAAGCACGCCTTCACCGCCAAAGCGGTGTGGGCGGATTTCTGCAGCAGTTCTAATATCTCCCTGCACCGATCCGCACAATAGTTTTGGAATCACCAAGAATCAGTTGAACTTCATGTTCATAGGATTTCATAGGTGATTTCGCTTGGGTTCTGTGGAAATTTGCAGGAACCCAGTCGACCAAAGTCGGCCCAAAAGGCTGCCATTCCCATTTCGACCAGGAGATCATCAAAGGGAGTCGCGTTGATGCGGTCATTGGAAGCGTGGTCACCCTCTTCAAGGACCCTTGGGACGACATTTTCACCGGGCAGAGGCTGAAATTCTCACCATAATTACGCCCAAAGAAGTGAGTATTGCATCATCATCATCATCATCATCATCATCATCATCATCATCATCATTGAGTAGGAATGGGTTCCGTGGGCCGCTAAACCTGAAAGCACAACTGCCCAAGGGCTAGAGGATGAAACGACCCAAGTGCAGTGTGGCTAACAGGACTCCTAGAAGGTTGAAGGAATGCGATTCACAATCCAACATTGTATGGGAGTGAGATCTATAAGAGTAGGAAGATTGACTGTAACGTCGGACAGTGCTTCTACAAGTCATTTGGGCACTCTCAGCAAAGCTCCTGGTGCGCAGGATGACTGGTGGAGTGAAGTTACAAAGACCCAAAAGGAGTCGGAGTTGCTGGAGCTGCGATTGCAACTTATCGATTGTTAGGCTGGCAATTTTGTGGGCCTCATGTTCGGCTGGGGATCTAAGCACCAAATTAAGCACAAAAGATTGATTTGGCCAGGACAGATTGGAATTAAAGCCACAGAGATGTAGATAGCGTAGATAGATATGATGTGTGGGTGGAGCAAAAGCTGGTTTTCCATGGTTTTCCCATAATGGGGGGGATGCCGATCTATAAACTACAGCTATTTTATGCAAAAAAAGTCACAAAGGTTCCCTGGCCTTGGGGTTGCTGTGACGATCAACCCACTGTTTCATCGCTGTTCGATAGTTTCATCTGGGGGTAAAACAGTAATAAACCACCCATTTATACCACTGGTGAAATTGGGGATGGTTTACCAGTAGTACCGCACAAGGCGGTGGCGGAAGTTTCAAAAATAAGAAACCTATAGGAGAGATGAGATGTTGTGATTCATGGATGGCAGAGCGAATCCACTCATGGACCGAAAGGTCGTTGAGGCCCTGAGTCTCCTCTCTTTCTCTCACTATCTATTTGTCTATTTGTGTATCTACCTACCTACCTACCTACCTTCCTACCTTCCTACCTTCCTACCTTCCTACCTTCCTACCTTCCTACCGACCTATCTATCTATCCATCTACCTATCTACCTATCTACCTATCTACCTATCTACCTATCTACCTATCTACCTATCTATCTATCTTTCTTTCCTTCCTTTCTTTCTTTCTTTCTTTCTTTCTTTCTTTCTTTCTCTCTATCTATCTGTCTATCTATCTGTCTATCTGTCTGACCATCAGTCTATCCATCTATCTATCTACCTCTCTCTCTCTCTCTATATCTAGCTACTTCTCTATCTATCCATCCATCTATTCATCTACCTGCGTACCTATCTTCCTATTCATGTACCTATCTACCTACCTACCTACCTACCTATCTACCCATTTACTTATGCATCCATCCAACCATCCATCCATCTAGCTATCTATCGATCTATCTGTCTGACCATCTGTTTACCTACCTATCCGTCTCAATGTTTTTGCACCCTTCAACGTCGCGGTGTTGCACTTCTTTTTTGACTCCAGCATGTCGAAACGTGACAGCTACGAAAGCTTGCAAAACCGCAGCCGTCAGAACCTCTCAGGATATTGTTTATCAAATTCTGAAGCGGCGAAATGCAACCCCTCTCAGGAAATGAGCGCCCGCACCGCTGGACCTATCTGACTCATATGTCTCTTGTACTGCCACGCGACATGCATCTTTGCACATCCTCTTCAAATGCCCCACGCCTGCGAACATTTTTAAAACTGCTACAAAACCCTCACGTTTTGCTCACTTCTGGGCAAGGTGCAGAATCCTTTGCGCCTGCCACACAAGAGCGCATCCTAACTTCAAAAAGTGCTCCGAGACCACAGTTTTTGACACTTTTGACTTCCAAATGTGCTTCGCGCCACAACGCCGTGCACTTTTTCAACATCTCAACTTCCAAAAGTGCTCTGGAGCTGAGGTGTTTTGTACATTTTTAAGTCGAAATGTGCTTCGCGCCATCACGGCGTGCATTTTTTCATCATCTGAACTTCCAAAAGTGCTCCGAGAATGGTGTGTTTTTTGGTTGTAACATTATTACTTCCAGGCGTGCTTCGCGCCACAGCGCCGTGCAGTTTTTGAACATCTCAACTTCTCCGACGCTGAGGTGTCTTTCACATTTTGACTTCCACATGTGCTTCGTGCCACAACAGCGCTACTTTTCGACCCTCCGGGGCCACAAAGCATTAGAAAAACACAGTGTTTCGTGACTCTTCTACCTTTTCGCGCACTTGTATTTTCTTTCTTCTGACTCTTTCTCTTCTCTAATCTTCTTTCTTCTTCCTTTCTCTTCTCTAACTCTTCCCACCTCTTCTTTTCCATCTGTCCATATTGTCGGAAGCTTGACTTCGAAACTTCCTTCAGTTATTGTTTTACCAACATTATTGTAGCTTATTTCTCCATCCGACAGGCAAGGTGATGACCCCACTTGACTTGCGTTGAGTTTTCTTTGGGGTTCGGGTGGTTCAACCAACAACCACTGTATTTTGCAAAAATAGTTTTTGTTGCTCAAATTCCACACTTCTGGTTGGTGATCCCTTACAATCCCCCAATTTTAGACATTGCTGAATTAATATCCAACCTTCTGTGATGTATGAGTCTGATATGAGGATCTATTTTGCCCTAGAAAAATACATCATGGTGTGGTTCAAGCTTTCTGACTTAGGCAGCTACTCAAGGCTCGCTGCTGTGGAAAGCCCTATTGATGAAAATGATGATTTAGCATGTAAAATAGGGTTTCGGCCAAAACGATTTTGGAGTTCAACCCGTTTTTTTTTGGCATTAGGGAGATGAACTTTGGTGTTTTTAACCAAGATAATATATGACCATTTAAGAGGAAACATGAGGATGAATGGGCGGATGGAACGGGGGATCCCATTTTCAGAGAAACGCACCAAACCTGGTGATGATGGGGCAATGCATGGCCATTGCATGCCCCAATGAGACATGGTCCTAGCAGGGACATCTTTAGCAACTCGGTATGTTCTGTGCCCGTGCTTCTTGGCTCAAAGTTGTTGTCGCCTTAGAGCAATGGCTGGTATGGTTGGTGGTTTCAAGCTTGTTGATGTTGCTTATTTCCATCATTTTCCATCCGTACGTGTGAAGGTCTTCCCCAATTTGTGACTATAGTATAGAACAGTATTATCGTTTTTAGCTTGATGTGACTATACGCAATAGTACGCAATACATACATGCACACGCACAGACACACACACACATATATATATAATATCATATAAATACACAGTACATATATATATATATATATATATTACGTAGGTGTGTTCAAAGCTTGAAACCACAACCTTCATCCAGCCCTGCTGCTTCAGCCAGCCCTGCTGGTTCATCCAGCCATGGTGCTTCATCCAGCCCTGCCATTGCCATCTTTGGGCCCTGCTGGTTCATCCAGCGGTTGCGCTGCCATCGCCCCGATGCATTCGGTCCGAAGACAGGGCCCAGCAACATGGCCTTTTTCGAGCTGCAACTGCATCAAAAGTGATCTACCACCTCTTACAGGCCATAACCAAAAAGGTCAAAAAGATAGAACTGTGATTTGCCAGTATTTCAGAAACGGATTCTACTTTTTTTTTCTCTCTCCCGGGGCTTGCTCTAACTACAAACTCTGGACATCTCTGGTTATTTTTTTGCAAGCACCATTTTGACATTTTGAGGGGGTTGACAATGGCTAGATGCAGCCCATGAAACCAAATAATGATCACACAACCGAACAATGAACACATGCTTGATGGTTGGTACTGCCATGTTTGACGGCTTAAATCTCTATACGGGTATGGGTTAAGCCACTAAGGTACCATTCTTGGCCCAGGTCATTTGCCAGAATATCTTTGTCCCAAGGTTTCGGGAACCACCTAGTCCTTAGTGTTTGGCAATGAAGAAGTGGATAAAATTAGGTTTTAACAGTTGCAACCATGAGAAGGCGTCTTTCAAGATCTTGAGGCATATCCGTATGTTGGCTTGAAGGCTTCCCTGTGCTATGGATGCTTTGAATACCATAGTCAAAGGAAGTTTAGTTGTTTAGTTAGCAAACTTCCGAGTTACGGACGATGGTCATGGTTTTGCATTCACACCATCATGCCAACCACATCACCGTGTGAACCCTACCAGTAGTACCGCACAAGGCGGTGGCGGAAGTTTCAAAGATAGGAAACCTGTGGGAGCGGTTGGTCGTTGTGAATCGTGGATGGCAGAGCGAACCCACTGATGGATCGAAAGGTGGTTGGAGTGTCGGGCTATCTATCTGTCTGTCTGTCTGTCTTTCTGTCTATTTATCTGTCTTTCTACCTATCTGTCTATCGGTGTATCTGTCTATCTGTCTATCAATCTGTCCATCTATCTATTTACCTACCTATCTATCTATCTATCTATCTGCCTGTCTATCTCTCTCTCTCTCTCTGTCTATCTATCTATCTGTCTTTCTGCCTATCTGTCTATCTATTTGTCTATCTATCTGTCTTTGTATCTACCTGTCTGCCTATCTATTTGTCTATCTATCTGTCTTTGTATCTACCTGTCTGTCTATCTGTCTGTCTGTCTGTCTATCTGTCTTTGTATCTACCTGTCTGTCTATCTGTCTGTCTGTCTGTCTATCTGTCTTTCGATCTATCTATCTATCTATCTATCCATCCATCCATCCATCTATCTATCTATCCATCCATCCATCCATCTATCTATCTATCTATCTATCTGTCTCTTGGTCAATCTGTCCATCTGCCTACCTCTGTATCTATCTGTCTATTAATCTATCTGTCGACCTGCAAGCTTGAAAACGACGCTATTCTGCGAGACTTCTTAAATTAATTGTCGAAGCTGACAATCAAGAACGAAGCAATCCTGCGAGACTTCCTCAATTTTTGAACTCTGCAAGAGAACTTGACAGCATCGAAAACGGAGCAAGTCTGCAAGAGTTTCGCCACATTTGAACACTTGACAATGTGAAAAACGGGGCAATAGTGCGAGACTTCCTCAATTTTCGAAGTTGACAACGTCAAAAACGAAGCAATTCTGCGAGACTTCCTTCAAAAATGGAAAGTTGAGTGTAGAGCTGGCGGCCTCCTACCACAGCGTTTTGCAATTTTTCCATTCCATCTGTCTAAAGTATTGCGCCTGCCACGAAAAAGTGAGTCCAGGTCATACGAAGTGTTGCACCTGTCACGCTAAATCATCTTAGCAAACCTGAAGATCTGATGCTCGAAAATGCAACCCCTCTCAGGAAATCAGCGCCCTGACCTCCTAACAGTTCTGATGAACATGTCTCTTGTACTGCGCCTGCCACGGAAAATTTATCTTTGCAGATCCTCTTCAAATGTCCCACGCCTGCCATCGTTTTTGAAACGGCTACAAAACCTTCAAAGTTTGCTCACTTTTGGCAGGGTGCAGAATCCTGTCCAAAAGTGGTACGAACATGTGGTGTTTTTAGCATGTTGAATTCGAAATGTGCTTCGCGCCACAACGGGGTGCACTTTTTCAACATCTCAACTTTCAAAAGAGCTCCGACACTGAAGCCTTTTTGCACATTTTGGCTTCGAAATGTGTTTCGCGCCACAGCGGCGTGCACTTTTTCAAAAGCTTAACTTCCTAAAGGCTCCGAGAATCGTTTTTACCATTTTGACATCCAAACGTGCTCCGTGCCACAACAGCGTGCACTTGTTCCACATCTCAACTTCCAAAAGTGCTCCGGACGCGAGGTGCTTTGTGCATTTTTACTTCCAAATGTGCTTCGCACCACAACGGCGTGCAATTTTACATTTCTCATCTGCCTAGATGGCTCCACACCCGCCGCTTTAGCGAGCCTACTCTTATTGGACCCTCCTGAGCCCCAAAACATTGGAAAAACACAGTGTTTTGCGATTTTCTACCTTTTCGCGCACCTGCATCTTCTTTCTTCTGACTCTTTCTCTTCTCTGTCTTCTTCCTTTCTCTTCTCTGACTCTCCCCACCTCTGCTTTTTCATCTGTCCATATCGTCGGAAGATTGACTTCTAAACTTACTTCGATCATCAAGTGGTTGGGCAGTGAAAGAGTCCGGGAGCATGTGAATTCACGGGTGAAAACATTCTGGCCCTGTGTTTTTACAGGAGGGTCTGTGTTTCCGCGGTTGCAGGTCTCGATCTGGCAAAATTGTCGACAAAAAGTGCACGAGACTGCAGAGAGATCTCGATTTGCATTTAAACATGCCAAAAAGTTAACTGAGGCGTTCGGAGCACTTTTGGAAGACAAGGCCAGAAAAATGTGCACAAGAGTGTAGCGAGAGCTCGACTTCACCAAAAAACGGTGTACGTTGGTCGATTTGGTGTGCAACCGGTTGTGACTAGACACTGGCATGCTGCGCGCGTCGCTCCTGCCATGCGGGATTGCAGCTGGAGGTGGCCAAACGCATTGTAACAGCTGCGCGAAGAGAAGAACTGGGTCGCAGAAACTACAGAAAGGTGTAGCTGAGAGATGCAGGCAGCTCAGAGCAGAAGCGGGCCAGCGAAAGACTCTTCCACCTCGTGTCGCGGGTCCGAGACCCACTGACACGGGGTGAGGGGGAGGAAGGGCACGGGAAGCGTCTCTAGCCTTTGGTAAGAGTCTGGTGGGTCGCTCCTTGCCTTTCCATTCGTTTACCATTTAGTATCACCCTTGGTTCGCTCATCCTTCCCTCTCTCCCTCTCTCCCTCTCTCCCTCTCTCCCTCTCTCCCTCTCTCCCTCTCCCTCTCTCCCTCTCTACCTCTCCCTCTCACTCTCTCACTCCTTCTCCCTCCCCCTCTGCCGCTCCCTCTCCCTCTCCCTCTCCCTCTCACCGCTCACACTCACTCACACTCACTCACACTCACTCACACTCACTCACACTCACTCACTGCCTCCCTCCCTCGCTCGCTCGCTCGCTCACTCACTCACTCACTCACACACACACACCCACTCTCACACTCACACCCACCCACCCACCCACCACCCACCCACCACCACTCACACTCACTCACTCACTCTCACTCACTCACTCACACTCACTCTCACTTCACTCTCACTCTCACTCTCACTCTCACACTCTCACTCTCACTCCACTCACTCTCACTCTCACTCTCAACTCTCATCTCACTCACTCTCACACTCACACTCACACTCACACTCACAACTCACACTCCACTCACACTCACACTCACACTCACACTCACACTCAACACTCACTCACTCACACTCACACTCACTCACACTCACTCTCCCTCCCTCCCTCGCTCGCTCGCCTCGCTCCCCTCGCTCCCTCACACCCTCACACACACTGACTCACTGACTCACTGACTCACTGACTCACTGACTCACTGACTCACTGACTCGCTGACTCACTGACTCACTGACTCACTGACTCACTGACTCACTGACTCACTGACTCACTGACTCACTGACTCACTGACTCACTGACTCACTCACTCACTCACTCAATCAATCACCCACTCACTCCTCCCCTCCCTTCCCGGATGCAAAAACGCACGCACGCACGCACGCACTCACTCACCCATTCACTCACTCACGCGTGCACGCACGCACTCACTCACTCGCTCGCTCACTCACTCATTGATTTTTTGAGTTATTCATTGGTTCCTTTTCTTTGAATTCTTTGATTTATTGGTTGGTTGGTTCATTCATGGTTTCATTAGCACATTCTTTTGTGCATTCATTGATTCGTTCGTTCGTTCGCTCGCTCGCTCGCTCGCTCGCTCACTCCCTCACACACTCACTCACTCACTCACTCACTCATTCACTCATTCATTCGTTCGCTCACTCATTCACTCATTCATTCTTTCGCTCGTTCCGCAGTTCAGTTCATCTTCATGTCCGTCTTCATGTCCATGTTCATGTCCATGTTCATGTTCATCCCATCCCATCCTATTCCGTTCCATTCCATTCCATTCCATTCCATTCCGTTTCATTCCGTGCCATTACATGTCCATTTTGGTTTCCATGTCCATGTCCATGCATGAATTCATTCAGTCCTTCATTCATTCATTGATTCATGAAATTGCTTGATTAATCCATCATCCTTTCCCTGCTCACTGGTTTCTTCATTCACTGACTCATTGATTCATTGACTCATTGATTCATTCATTCCTTCCTTCATTCCGTTCGTTCGTTCGTTCGATCGTTCGATCGTTCGATCGATCGCTCGTTCCTTCGTTCATGCAGACATTCTTTCATTCATTCAGTGAGTGAGGCAGTCAGGAATTAATTCACTCATTCAGTCAGTCGCGCAGTTGATTGTTTCATATCATTTCCTTAGTAAACATCTCAACACTTTGCTCATTCGTTGGTGCACCTCACGACCTCAGCAGTTCATTGCTTCTGCATCCCACAGACGTTTCTATAGGCCATTGATTTCTTACTTATAGCCGTGTTTTGTTTTGAAACTTCCGCCCCGGCACGGGGACTGGTATATTTTGTAGGACGCCCAAAGATCGCAGAAAATTATGAGCAGGTGAATCCCACCTGCCTCCCAAAGGTGACCCCTCCAATAGACGGTTCAGGTGTGTCTTTATTAGTGGAATGAGCCTTAAAAACATTTAAAAAACGACCCTTTGAAACTTGAATATGATTCAGGGGTCACCTTTTGGGGGGCGTTGGTTGAATCTCCATATTTCAACTTCTTGCCAGCGCAACGCTGCGTGTAGGCCAACTGTAGCGGCTCCAAATGTAATGACGACTTTTCAAGCTTGGACAGAGTTTGAGATTCAACCGACCCTTGCGCATACCGTCGGTCTCGGACAGCTCCCGTGATGAATGTGATGGCTGTAAGAATCAGTTGCAGCTGCAAGACATCCACTAGGCCATCTTAGATGGCAACCTGATCCTGGAACTGCAGCGTTCCTCTAGCCAAGAGCAAAAGAAGCCTTGGAGGACTGCGAAGCAGACCTTCGTCCCCCACTTGGGTCAGAATGCGAGGGATGGGGTGGAGGAGGACAAAGCGCTGAAGAAAAGATTGCAAGCACTCAGGGAAAGCCAGAGCTTTGGCCAAGGGGCTATGCACGTTCTTCCTGTCCAACGATTACAGTAATGGGCTACGAGAGGACGGCATATTTGGCACTCGCTGCGACAGCTGTCCCAAGCGGGTCGGAGCCTATAGAGGCACAGACATGTGCAAACTGAAGCTGCAGGCCGAGAAAGCGATGCCGAGTGGCATTGGTGCAGCGAGCGCTGCTTCTTCTAGTGTTGGTGAGGAGGGCCGTGTGCGCACCCAGCAGGGACAACGTACACGAGACCTATGAGTCTTTGCCTACAGTGTGCAATGTGGAATTCTTTGTCAGCCATTCATGGTCTTGTGCCCCCTGGATGAAAGCCTTGATCCTTTCGCACGTCGCCTGTCTGATCACTGAAACACTTCCTGGCTGGTGGTTTCAGGTGTGTTTCATTATTTCACCCTCAAAGTATGATTCTCCGTGATGGACTTTCATTTCGTAGTAGGGGTCTGCTCAAGCACCAACCGGATTGGCCTTTTGTTGGGTTGAGACTAGGCCTGGAATTGTGGTTGACAAATCAATGTTGATGGCAGCATGTGGTTTTGGCCACAGTTGTCAGAGTGACTTGAGTTGACCCGTTTGAATGCATGCTTGGACCTCTTTGCTGGTCAGCTCAATCAGCAAATCCCTTTTCCCGGCATAAGTAGTTGATGATCATCCGCAATCCGTGGAAATTTAGTCTCATCACAGATGCACTGTGAGACAAACGTGGGATTCATCACAGCGTAGTCTTCAAACACAACAATTTTTGTCTAGTCTGTGGCGTCACTTTTGTTTGGTTTCTTTTGCTATTCGGGATGACGACCACAACGGAATCACGCTTTTGATGTCAACGCCGGTAAGAGGCCATACACGTCGTGTTTTTCTTTATTTTTTTGCACTTACAGATGTTATCACCCACATGGCCTCTTGCACACGATGCTACCATGTTTCTGAGATGAATTGAAACCAAAAACCACATGTTGTGTTTTCTTTTTAAACCAGCATCGAATCCAAGTTCTTGAACTTTGACATGGCTTTGACATCCTCTTTCTTCGCGTGCCTGTTGGCAGTTCTTTGTCTCTTGCTTCGGGCCGGCAGTTTGACGGGGATTGCTGAGCAGCCTCTCTGGTTGCTGAATGTATCGATCGTGGCTTGGCCCCTTTTGGTCTTCCTGGCTGTTTATTTCCTGGGACATCTTTGGGACAGCCGATCCTTCTGGTTTGATCGAATATGCGTGGACCAGCAAAATGCAAGTCTGAAGCTCCAGACGATCCAAGCAATTCCGGGCTTTGTGGCGCAATCAAAGAAGATGCTCGTGTTGTGGGACGACACCTACTTCGAGAGGTTATGGTGCAGCTTCTTCTATGTCTTCATTCACATTTTGGGTTTGGGAAAATGACTGAAGTAGTATGGCGCTGGCACTGGTAAAGTGGTGAAGTTGAGACCAGTTTTGGGACAGGATATGAACGTTGGGATCGGATTATACTGAGGATGGTGCCTCGGTTGTGCACGCGAAAACCGACTCGGTTGTGCACGCGAAAACCGACTCGGTTGTGCACGCGAAAAGCAACTCAGTTGTGCACGCGGATGATGCTGCTGCTGCTGCTGCTGCCGATGATGATGATGATGATGGTGATGATGATGCTGATGGTGCTGATGATGATGGTGGTGGTGGTGATGATGATGCTGATGGTGCTGATGCTGATGCTGATGCTGCTGCTGCTGCTGCTGATGATGATGATGATGATGATGGGACAAGGTGAGCAGTGCCTGTGTCTGCTGGACAACAAGAAAGATGATGAGGTTGCTGTGCCTGTGTGTGCACAGGGACATGAACGGTTCATGAACGTTATTACCCCACCGCACCCCACCCCAACCCACCGGTAACTGATCATGAATGAGCAGTGCCAGTGTCTGCTGGACAGCAAGAAAGATCATGACGTTAACCAGCTCCACCCCATCGCCCGAAGGCTCTATGTGTACAACTGAGACACTTTTGTGTGCGCAAGTGAGTCAGAATCCTGTGTGCGCAGCTGAGTCAATTTTGTGTGCGCAAGTGAGTCGCCGTCCTTATATTGATTTTCAATTTTTCAGACCATACTCGTCTGTCTGGCCACTATGCCTTTTGAAACCCAACGCCACTGGCCTAAGGCAACTATGAACTGGCAATCCATGTGAAGACCGCAGCATCGCCCAGGGCAACAAAAATAGTACCTTTGTGGATGCCGTTTTGGATGCTTGGGCAAGACTGGCATGGGGTAAACACAGCTCCCAAGAATGCACTACCACTAAAAATAGTGTATCAACTTCAAATTTTTAATTCTCCTCCCTTTGCAAACATGGTTTGGCCATGCTTGGCCATGCTGCCAAGGACATTGTTCTGGATCTGCGCTGACACCTTGGTGGCCCTGCTCTCAGCTTCCGAGGAGGCAGGATGGTCGCTCTATGTTTTCTTCGGCTTCTTCGCTTTGAGTTTTAGTAGGAGCCCCCAAAAAGATGCTAACAAAAATAGTGGTAGGCTCCAATCAAACATAGAGTATAGTTGAACCGCACCTCTTTTGCATCTTTTAGTACTATATTTATCACTTTTTGTTATTATTTTTTTGGCGCAAGCAGCTGTTCCGCAAGCACCAGTTTCCCGTGTGAATGGAACTCTTAGAATCGCTAACACAGGACTGATGTGAGCTGAATTCGTTGATGCCAATGGGCCCACATCATTGGCTATTCGTGTATAATATTTCACGATCCATTTTCAGGATCTAAAATAGGAGTCTAAAACCCGCGCAATTCGCAGCCCAGGTTTCCTCTACGCGGCTTTCTGTTTGCACAAGCTGCAAGGGCACAAACGCATGTTGGATCAGATGTTGGCCTTCGACCTTCGAAATGCCAAATGCACGTTTGAGGAAGACCGTTGCTGGGACACTTCTGGCAGAGGTTTCCACAAGGGTTTCTGATCCCCAAAGCATGTTTTGATGTAGACACCACTTGTCTCGGGGATATCCTAAATTTGAGAAACCATCTACATCTAAGCCTTTTTTCGGTTGAAATCCAGATCGGTTGGTCTGAAAATGAAAGAGGGACTTCCAACATCCCCCAACATTTGGCCGCTTCTTGGGGAAACTGATGATGAACGCATGGGCTTTTGGGTGCCCAATTTTCGAACATACCCACAGGACAAGCAACAAGGGTTGTTGACGACCATCAATCCTAGGCTGGGTGCGCGAAGCCCTTAGTGTGGGTAGTAGAGCTTTAAGGATTGGCCGGTTGGCGTAAAAATCTTGCGGCATGGTGCCCCCCATGATACCCCGAATCACGTTGAGGTGCTGTCATCGAGGAGCTTGTCTCTTTACTTTCTGCTTCAGTAATTTTCATTTTCAAACCTGGAAAAATCTTGAAACCAAATAGGCCACTTCGGTGCTTAGGATTTGGGTTTGTGTGAAAGTTCGGGATACCCAAAATGGCGACTTAGCGGTGGACATCGGGGAGTACCAGTTTCAGACAAACCCAAATCATGTTCCTGGGAGGTGTAATGTTAGTAAATCAATAGTAAACCATCCCCAATTTTGCCACAAATGGGTACATACAAGTCATGATCAAGTCATGAAAATATGGGTGGTTTATTATTGCTTTGCTACCACTATGCATTTTTCTTGTCGTTTTTCTCCATTGTTTGGCTCAGGTTTTGAACTTGTTTGACGAGGCATTGGAGCCCCCCATCAGGGTCGCCTTTGATGCGCCTGACGCCGAGGATGGAACTGTGGAGGACGCGACGATGATGTGGGGTAGCCTCTGGTAAACTAACAGTGTGCGAACTGGACAATCACCATTTTTAAGAGGTAAATCAACTCAACTATAAAAGGGGATTTTCGATAGATATGTTGAATTACGGAAGGGTATTAATGGCTAAGTTTTTGATCGTTTTTGCAATTTTTGTGGTGGAACATGTATGAACTGAAGTTTTGTTCCTGTGGAATTTGGGGTAGCACATTTTCAGACAGGTCAGCTTGGTTTCTCTGGTCGTCCTGGTACCTTGGACCGCAAGTCCCATGTTGGAGTACCATTCGAGATCAGATGATCTCTTTGTCGCTGTGCTACCACCGCCTGGATCCCTAGTCTTTATGGCCATCGGCGCCCATCCATAGGACTTAGAGATACATAGAGCATATTAGAGCCATAATTCATCATAATTCCATATTCCATCCATATACTTTAGAACCTCCTGCTTCCCATTTCTTCGTCCTTCGTGGCCATAAACTAATTGGGGCCCCAATTGGGTTGTTGGACCAGAACCGCTTCAACCATGTTCAAGCCCTCTTGCAGGAAGCCGGTGAACCCCTTATTTCCTTGGAAAGCTTGCGTGCCATACGGCATGTCACAAGTTATCCCAGCCCCGATGCGATCATTGGTCAGTTTCCGAGACGCAAAATTGCTGCCAAAGAATTCAGTTGATATGGTATTATCATGGTATATCAGTTAATATCATCACGTATTATTTGGTAGATGATAATCATGGTATTTAGTTTGGTATATCGGTATATCTACTTAATTTACTTTATGTTTTTTTCTATAAATTATAAACGGGCTAACGCCCTGGTGCCGCCGACCCCCTTTTTGCCCGTCTCCTCGACAATCCGCTTCTTGATCGTGCGCTGGCACTCATCCTGGAGGCAGCAGTTGGTTGTGGGAATGGGCAGGAAAGAAACGAATAGATACATGACACCAATGAGACAGGCCGGGGCGAAACGTGCCAAACAGCAGTTTCGAAACCCTATAGAAAGAAGTCTTGGGGCTGAAGATGCAAGGGGCTGAAGCTGCAACAGTTTCGCAACCTTGGTGCAAAGGGCTGAAGGGCGCAGCGGAGCGTTTCAGGCCGGGGCGAAACGTGCCGAACGGCAGTTTCGAAACCCTAGAAAGAAGTTGTGGGGCTGAAGCTGCAAGGGGCTGAAGCCGCAACAGTTTCGCAACCTCGGCTCAAAGGGCTGAAGGGCGCAGCGGAGCGTTTCAGGCCGGGGCGAAACGTGCCGAACGGCAGTTTCGAAACCCTATAGAAAGAAGTTGTGGGTCTGAGGCTGAAGCCGCAACAGTGTCGCAACCTTGGCGGAAAGGGCTGAAGGGCGCAGCGGAGCGTTTCAGGCCGGGGCGAAACGTGCCGAAAGGCAGTTTCGAAACCCTACAAGGTGGTGCCCCCTAGATAGCTAAGTTGGTTTATAACTCCAATAACTATGGTTTATAGGTGATATATCTATAGTTAATGGGATTATAAACCAACTTATAACTTGGGGGGCACCACCTTGTATAGAAAGAAGTTTTGGGGCTGAAGCTGCAAGGGGCTGAAGCCGGAACAGTTTCGCAACCTTGGCGCAAAGGGCTGAAGGGCGCAGCGGAGCGTTTCAGGCCGGGGCGAAAGGTGCCGAACGGCAGTTTCGAAACCTTATAGAAAAAAGTCTTGCAACTGAAGATGCAAGGGGGTGAAGCCGCAACAGTTTCGCAACCTCGGCTCAAAGGGCTGAAGGGCGCAGCGGAGCGTTTCAAGCCGGGGCGAAACGTGCCGAATGGCAGTTTCGAAATTTTATAGAAAGAAGTTTTGGGGCTGAAGCTGCAAGGGGCTGAAGCCGCAACAGTGTCGCAATCTTGGCGCAAAGGACTGAAGCGCGCAGCGGAGCGTTTCAGGCCGGGGCAAAACGTGCCGAACGGCAGTTTCGAAACCCTATAGAAAGAAGTTTTGGGGCTGAAGCTGCAAGGGGCTGAAGCCGCAACAGTTTGGCAACCTTATAGCGCAAAGGGCTGAAGGGCGCAGCGGAGCGTTTCAGGCCGGGGCGAAACGTGCCGAACGGCAGGTTCGAAACCCTATAGAAAGAAGTTGTGGGTCTGAGGCTGAAGCCGCAACAGTGTCGCAACCTTGGCTCAAAGGGCTATAAGGGCGCAGCGGAGCGTTTCAGGCCGGCTTATAGAAAGAAGTTTTGGGGCTGAAGCTGCAAGGGGCTGAAGCCGCAACAGTTTCGCAACCTTGGCGCAAAGGGCTGAAGGGCGCAGCGGAGCGTTTCAGGCCGGGGCGAAACGTGCCGAACGGCAGTTTCGAAACCCTATAGAAAGAAGTTTTGGGGCTGAAGCTGCAGAAGGAGCTGAAGCCGCAACAGTGTCGCAACCTTGGCTCAAAGGGCTGAAGGGCGCAGCGCAGCGTTTCAGGCCGGGGCGAAACGTGCCGAACGGCAGTTTCGAAGTTTTGGGGCTGAAGCCGCAAGGGGGTGAAGCCGCAACAGTTTCGCAACCTTGGCACAAAGGGCTGAAGGGCGCAGCGGAGCATTTTAGGCCGGGGCGAAACGTGCCGAACGGCAGTTTCGAAACCCTATCTAGAAAGAAG